CCTGCCCGGGCTGGCTTTAACCATGATCCTTAGATCTCAGCCTCCTGAGTAACTAGAATTACAGGCGTGAGCCACTGGCGCCTGGCCTTTTATTTATTTCTATAGATACAATATTACTGCATTCATATGTTCAGTAGGAATGTGTTCTCTTTGTAGCAGGAGACAATTAGAAGCACCAGCATATTTGGAAATGTGTACCACCATCTTCATCTTTTGGTCACTCCCCAGAAGAGAGGCAACAAGACACCTTTCATCTGTTTTATGACATCTGTTTTGTTATTGTCTTTTTCTTCCTACCTTTGGTTTTGTCCTATTCTGCACTTCGTATTTCTACCTTGTGTTGAACTTGCTGCTTTTTGTTCATACTGAAAAATTACATTCTACAGAAACTCCTAACCAATAATGCTGGCCCAGAGTTTTGAATTTAGCAATGGAATACAGATAAATTTAGTCTCAGAAGCTTACTTACATCTCCTCCTTATCTGCTCAAACATTGCTACATAAGTTTTGACACTAACTCCTTGTCACCAGTCATGTCCCACTGAGAACAACCAGGACATGCCCATCCTGGTGATGAGAAGTGATCAAACCCTAACTCCAGGATGGGCAGTGTTTCAGAGAAACTATCTTAATTAATTGTGAAAATGTGGAAATTGTCCAATAGGAGTGGCTTATGTTGATTTTGACAAAACAAAACTTATAAACATATAAATCTAGGGATGATGAAGTGTTCTCACATATACTATTCAAATACTATCACAAAGACTCTGCCGGAAACAGAATCTCGCACACAGGCTGCTGCAACCTTATATAAAATACTATAATAAATAATAACTGCGGGGGCTGGGAAGGTGGCTCAGTGGTAGAGTGCTTGCCTTGCATGTCTGAGGCCCTGGGTTCGATTCCTCAGTACCACATAAGCAAAAAGAAAAAAGCCGGAAGTGGCCCTGTGGCTCAAATGGTAGAGCACTAGCCTTGAGCTGAAGAGCTGAGGGACAATGCCCAGGCCCAGAGTTCAAGCCCCACGACCAACAACAACAATAAACAAACTTCTCCTGTAGTTGAGTGTTAGTGGCTCACACCTGTAACTATAGCTACTCATGAGGCCAACATCTGAGGATTGTTATTCAAAGCTAGCCTGGACAGGAAAGTCTGTGAGACTCTCTCTCTCTCTCTCCCTTCCTCCTTCTCTCTCTCTCTCTCTTTTTGTTGGTTGTGGGGCTTGAACTCTGGGCCTGGGCATTGTCCCTCAGCTCTTCAGCTCATGGCGAGTGCTCTACTGCCTGAGCCACAGCACGACTTCTGGTTTTCTAGTGACTTATTGGAGATAAGAGTCTCACAGACTTTTCTGCCCCGACTGGTTTTGAACTGCGATCCTCAGATCTCAGCCTCCTGGGTAGCTAGGATTACAGGCGTGAGCCACTGGCACCCAGTATAAACTTTTTATTTTGAAATTGTTTTACACCTACATAAATCTTGCAAAACAAAATATGCTTTATCAAGCTTTCTCTAATATTCACATAGCACATATTCACATTGAAATCAGGAAATCAGGCTTGGTATAACACTCTTAATGATGACAGTATCACTCAAATTATGCTATGCTATCTTCAGGAAAACATTTGAATGTGTAGCATACTGCCTACAAAAATGGAATCAAGTGGCTTTTTCTTGTCTACACTACACATATGTCTTATAACTATGTCCAAAGTCATGACTACAATCATGACACTGGAGCACATAGGGGTATGTTGCACCTCCCGCCACTTTCTTTTACTTTGGGCCTATGAGAAAAGGAGATCCATTTCAGATGTTCATCCAAGAACCACAGAAAACTAAATGAACTTGAGTTAAAAGCAATTTACATTGTGGGTATATAGAAAAATCTCCTGGAGTCCCCATTGACCATGTCATAGGATAAAATGAAAAATTAATTTTAAACATCTTAATTCCAGAAGGAGGCAACCATTTATTCCTCAGAGTAAGGGTTTCTATCAGTCGACTGGACGGTGTGACTCTTCTAATTCATGGTGTGGGAAGTGAGGATTCTGGTGCCATTGTTCCCCTGGCTTAGCCTTTCCACGCTGAGTGCAGAGCTGAAAGCCAGGGCCTATAAATTATGGACAAGTTCAGGGATCCTCTCAGAGAGGCCTTGGTGAGTGTTCATATATATGTAGAACCAAAATCCGCAAAGGATTTTGCCTATTGATGAAGTCCTAACCCCTAGTTAAGGGCACAGAAACTTATGGTTTGGTTTCATTCCAGGCACAGTGTTTCTTCTATCTGGGTATTAAACTCAGCCATCATCAAGACACTGAACAAACACTGGAATTGTGTGGAGTCACCCTCCTCTCATAAGCACCAAGAATTTTCTTTTTTGTTTTCTTTCTTTTTCCTTCCTTCCTTCCTTCCTTCCTTCCTTCCTTCCTTCCTTCCTTCCTTCCTTCCTTCCTTCCTTCCTTCCTTTCTGCCAGTCCTGGAGCATTGTCCCTGAGCTTCTTTCAAGGCTAGCACTCTACCACTTGAGCCACAGCGCCACTGCTGGCTATTTCTGTGTATGTGGTACTGAGGAATCGAATCCAGGGCTTTATGCAGGCTAGGCAAGCACTCTACCACTGAGCCACATTCCCAGCCCAAGTACCAAGAATTTTCTATGGCAGCTGATGCTTTGCAGACTGTGGGCAGCCCTGTCACCTGGCCGGTGCTGCACCTGCTTCTTCTACGCAGTGTCTAGGCACAGATCTCCCGCAGTGAAGGTGTGCTGAATGGCTGGGCCCAGGCCACATTCTCAGCTGCTTTTCCTTCATGTGTCACTGAGCCATTTCTGTGGGTCTCACAGCAACATGGGCTTTGGGGATGGGGAGGAAGAGCTGCCTGTACACTTTCTGAACTCTACCTGTACTTCTCCATTTTTGTGTTGGGGGCTGCAGTAACACAGGTGAGTTCTTTACAAGCTGAGTTTCCTAGACTGGGCCATAGCCTGTTACACTCTAAATAACAAATTTCAAGTACCAGCAGTACTTTATTCATTAGGTCAAGTGAGGGAAAGTTCACTGAATTCTCAGACCTAGGGCCTAACCCAAGAACTTTTGTTGTTTTGCTTTATTTTTTTGTGGTGCTGAGGATCTATCCCAGGACTTTGTACTTGTTAAGTAAGCAGCTCCTGCCATTGACCTACACCTTTACTCCCCTACTCTGATAACTTTTTTTGTTTGTTTGTCATGGGGCTTAAACTCTGTCTCTGAGCTTTTTCACTCAAAGCTAGCACTCTACCACTTGAGGCACAGCACCACTCCCAGTTTTCTGGTACTTAATTGGCAATAAGAATCTTATGGAGAGCTGGGAAGGTGGCTCAGTGCCTTGCATGCATGAGTCTCTGGTTCAATTCCTCAGCACCACATTAAGCAGAAAAAAGAAGCCGGAAGTGGCGCTGTGGCTCAAGTGGTAGAGCACTAGCCTTGAGCTAAAGAGCTGAGGGACAGTACCCAGGCCCAGAGTTCAGGCCCCACGACTGGACCAAAAAAAAAAAAGTCTTATGGACTTTCCTGCCCAAGCTGGCTTTGAACTGTGATCCTCAGATCTCAGCCTCTTGAGTAGCTAAGATTATAGGATTGAGCCACTAGCATCCAGCTTTCTGATAACTTTTTAAAAAGAAAAAGTATTGAGTTTCCAATTGCCACAAAACTTCCACATGCCTTTCTTCCTTTTCCACTGTGTTCTATGTACAGGGATCTGTGTAGTTAGATTCAGCCAAAGAGAGGTAATGTCAACATATTGTGAAACAAAAGGAGAATGAAATCAAGGTATTGCTTCTTCCTCAATTACACATCATCATCGTAGGCTTCCAGTCCCTCTATCATCATCATAGGGCCTACGTCTTTCCTGACAGCCCTCAGTCCTAACTCTTGGGGACCTCAGTGCTGCCTTATGTGTTTCTTTTTGTTTTATTTTTGCCAGTCCTGGGGCTTGAACTCAGGGCTGGGCACTGTCCCTGATCTCCTTTTGCTCAACGTTAGCAGTCTACCACTTGAGTCACAGAGCCACTTCTGGCTTTTTCTGTTTATGTGATAATGAGAAATTGAACGCAGGGCTTTATGCATGCTAGACAAGCACTCTACCACTGAGCCACCTTCCCAGCCTGTTGTTGTTTTATTTAAAAAAAAAAAAAAACAAGAAAGCTGTTTTTGTAGATAGTCCGTTTGTGAAACACTTCTTAAAGGATGAAAGTTTCAGGCAACTTGTTTTTCTTGACTGACCTGTGACTGATCCAACCCCAAAATGCACTCAGTGACCAGATCTGCCGGCTGGAAAACAATCCCCTTTCCCAGCGTACTAATGCCACAGGAGTGTTAGCGAAGTGTTTTTAGGTATTAGTTCCGTGCAAACCTTTTGAGAAATGGAAATTAGATTCAGAGAACACATAGCTGGTTAAACAATGAATTTAGCAAGGAGCAGAATCAAGACCACAATCCCAATGGTCTGATTCTTTAAAAAACAAAACAAAACTGCTCTGAAAGGAACTCCAGATCCCTTGAGGTCTGAGATAAGACGACAGGGAAAGGCTGAAAGATGAGGGGATCTAGGCCATGTATCTTGGGGATCACCAGAATTACAGTCGGCTGCGAGGCCTAAGGTAAGCAAAATCATCATTTTTGGGGAATCCTTTCCAATCTTTCAATGTTAGTGTTTTTGCGGCGCTGGTGACCTACAGAGGTTTCTCGCGCTTGGTAAATGCCCGGAAAACGCTCTGGCACTGATCTACATCCCATGCTGACCTCCGGGGTCTTTATGTCTCTATTCCTACACTGTAAGGCAGGATTGGTGTTCTTGGAAGATTTTTCCTGCACGCAAGGCGCTGCTGCATCCCACAAACGCTAGGTGGCAGCACGGAGCGGCTCCCAGCCAATGGGAAGAGTGCGACGGTTCCGGTCCCGCCTTCCGGCCTGGAGGCGCCTACTTGACTCTCTCAAACCCGGATTTTTCCGCGTCAATCCCTCAACGCACCTCCCAGGACGAGATGGCGGTGAGGGTGGTGGTGGAGCCCGCGGGCCGCGTGTGCTGGGACGAGCCGGTGCGCATCGCCGTGCACGGCCTGGCCCCCGAGCAGCCCGTGGCGCTGCGCGCGTCCCTGCGCGACGAGAAGGGCGCGCTCTTCCGGGCCCACGCGCGCTACCGCGCCGACGCCCGCGGCCAGCTGGACCTGCAGCGCGCGCCCGCGCTGGGCGGCAGCTTCGCGGGGCTCGAGCCCATGGGGCTCGTCTGGGCCCTGCAGCCCGACAGGCCCTTCTGGCGCTTGCTCAAGCGGGACGTGCAGACGCCCTTGCTGCTGGAGCTGGAGGTGCTGGACGGCCGCGAGCCCGCCGGGCCCGGCGAGCCCGAGGGCGGGCGCGTGCTGGCGCGGGCGGTGCACGAGCGGCACTTCATGGCGGCCGGGGTGCGGCGGGTGCCGGTGCGCGAGGGCCGGGTGCGGGCCACCCTCTTCCTGCCGCCAGGTGAGTGCCTGCTGGCCTCGCTGCTCTGTCTGGGATGGGAGGGGGGGGAGGCGATGGGTCGCAGGTGCAGTGCATCCCACCAGCCTCACGTTCCCCACTCCCAGACTCTCAGTGGTGACTGGAAAAGCATGGCCGACTTTGAGTCTTTGCTTGGTTCGGTGGTCATCCTAGAGTCACACTGTAGGAACAAAACTGGGAGTTGCCTAGGGAAGGAGATCATTGGATCTTCCCCAAACCCAGCTGAAATACAACCTAAAATGTGAAGGGACTTGCAGGTCATTTGTGTGTACATGCAGGTTTAGCCCAGTTTCTCTTATGGGTCCTGCAAAGTGTGACAGTGTCTGCGAGGAATTTGTGAGAATGTTGCATTCAGACCCACCCAGAGTGAAGGAATCCCAAAGGATGGGAGTGGAGGCGAAATCAGATTTAACCAGTTCGCAAGGACCATCTGAGACAAGCTGAACTTGAGGCTTGGGTAGTACAGTTGCCCAAAGGTCTCAGGTTGTGGGCCATGGTTCCTGTTCCTTTGAATTGTTGAGGCACTGACAGAAAGGAGAAGTTTAGTTAAGGAAAAGGATGTTCATTCATTCTTCATTTATTGTGTGGGTACTAGAGTTTGACCTCAGGGCTTGGGCACTGTTAGCTTTTTTACTCAAGGCTGTTGCTGTACCACTTGAGCCATACTTTTGTGTGTGTGTGTGTGTGTGTGTGTGTGTGTGTGTGTGTGTGTGTGTGTGTGTGTGTGTGTGTGTGTGTGTGTGTGTGTGTGTGTGTGTGTGTGTGTGTGTGTGTTTAATTGGAGATGTCTCTCAGGTTTGTCTGTCCAGGCTGGTTTCAAACTGCAGTCTTCGATCTCAGCCTCCTAACTAGCTAGGACTACAGGAGAGAGCCACTGGCCCAGACTGGATATTTATTTATTTATTTATTTTGGGTCCGGTCGTGGGGCCTGAACTCTGGGCCTGGGCGCTGTCCCTCAGCTCTTCAGCTCAAGGCTAGAGCTCTACCACTTGAGCCACAGCACCACTTCCGGCTTCTTCTGCTTATGTGGTGCTGAGGAATCGAACCCAGGGCCTCAGGCATGCAAGGCAAGCGCTCTACCACTGAGCCACCTTCCCAGCCCTGGATATTTATTTCTTATACAGTAATAAACACTGGCCCTGCACCAGTGGCTCATACCTGTGTTCCTAGCTATTCAGAAGGCTGAGATCTGAGGAGATTCTTATCTCTAATAAACCACCAAAAAGTTGGAAAGCGAGCTGTAGTTCAAGTGGTAGAGTGCTAGCTAGCCTTGAGCAGAAGAGCTAAGGACAGTGCCTAGGCCCTGAGATCAAGCCCCAGTACCAGCAGATAATAATAATAATAATAATAAAACTTCCCATTGTCACTTTCAGTGGTCCTACTGCTGCCCTAGGATATCAAAGAAATGTGAAATTGAGAATGTGTTTCTTTGGTAAGCCATAAAATATGATCGCTACATATTTAAGTAGTAACAAACAAAAACTACACAGTTCAAAGTAAAGGACTCTGTTCCATATGAAAGGGCAGCTATTTCCTTCTATGTTTTACTGGGACATGATCCAATATCCCATTTGAAACTTGAGGACTCCTGGGCACTCTGAAACTACTGTTCATTTCTGGGTTTATCACCATTGTCTCATTTTAATAATTCTTTTCTACCCATTCCCAAATGGCAACTTGCAATCCTCATTACTCTCATTACTGGAGATTCCTCTTCTCTGTCTGGAGATCATTTTATATTGTCATCTGTCCTTATTGCATACAGAGCTCCTACAAGTCATTGACTTGAGTTTTGTTTTTGAAAACTGCCAGAATGAAGGCTGACACTAAAGAGTTCTCACCTGTATTCCTAGCTACTTGAGAAGTTGAAAATTGGGACTATTGCAGCTCAAGGTCAGTGAAGGCAGAAAAATTCATGACAGACCCTACCCCATCCTCAATAGTTAAGCAAGTGCTATGCATCTGTCATCCCAGTATTAAGCTGGGGAATGGGGAAAAAAATGTCCCAGGCAAATACCTGGGCAGGAAGTGAGACCTTAATCTCAAACTAACCAGTGCAAAATAGATCTACATGTATGGGTCAGCAATTGAACTAACTTCCTTCCTTCCTTCCTTTCTTCCGTTCTTTCTTTCTTTCTTTCTTTCTTTCTTTCTTTCTTTCTTTCTTTCTTTCTTTCTTTCTTTCTTTCTTTCTTTCTTTCTTTCTTTCTTTCTTTCTTTCTTTTGTGGTTGTGAGGCTTGAACTCAGAGCCAGGGCAATATTTTGCTTAAGGCTAACACTTTACCACTTTGAGCCACAGTGCCACTTCTTGTTTTCTGGTGGTTAGAGATAAAGAGTTCCATGGACTTCCCTGCCCCTGCTGGCTTTGAACCATAATCTTCAGATCTCAACCTCCTGAGTGGCTAGGATTATAGGAGTGAACAACCTGGCTTACTATGATCTTTTCTAAACAACAACAAAAAAGAAGTATACCTTTGGTATACTGTTTAAGACACTTCTAAAAACAAAATCAAAGTCCAAGGGACAAATATTTGCTTCATAAAGAATTGTGATGATATTAAGCTTCAGTGACTAAATGTGTTGATTTATGAATGGACGTAGGTCAGTAGATAAAAGTAGACATTCATAAACTGAAATAGACATATCAAAGTGTAAGTATGATATATGAGTAGTAGTGTAAATTTATGTCTACATGTAATATCAGTAACTTAGGGATGTACTGCTAGATAAAATTACCTAGAACTTAAAGGATGCTTATAGAAGCATTGTAAGAGGGGCTGGGAAGGTGGCTCAGTGGTAGAGTGCTTGTCTTGCATGCATGAGGCCCTGGGTTCGATTCCTCAGCACCTCATAAGCAGAAAAAGCTGGAAGTGGTGCTGTGGCTCCAGTGGTAGAGCGCTAGCCTTGAGCTGAAGAGCTGAGGGTCAGTGCCCAGGCCCAGAGTTCAGGCCCCATGACTGGCAAAAAAAAAAAAAAAAAAAATCCATAACATTTAATGATCATAAAATAATCCAAACATTGGGGCTGTGGGAAGGTGGCTCAGTGGTAGAGTGCTTGCCTTGCATGCCTGAGGCCCTGGGTTCGATTCCTCAGCACCACATAAGCAAAAAGAAAAAAGCTGGAAGTGGTGCTGTGGCTCAACTGTTAGAGTGCTAGCCTTGAGCTGAAGAGCCTCTGAGGGACAGCGCCCAGAGTGAGTTCAGACCCCACAACCAGACCCCCCCCAAAAAAAATCCAAACTTAAATTGTCCTGTATTTTTCAATATGATACCATTGGTAAGAGCAGATTAACCCTCCCCACCCCCCAATTTTGGAAAGAAACAATGACAACTCGAGTTCTAGTTGAAGTTTCACTCCAGTGATCAAGATGTGGGAATTTGTGACAGGTGCACATCAAATGTGGGCTCTGCTTGACTATTTGGATGGCTCTCTTGGAGATTATAGGGTATGCACTCACACATTGCTGAGAATTAAGAATGCTTTGCTAGTCGCATGTAGAAAGCTAAAAGTGGATCCCTGCTTGTCATCATGCACCAACATCAATTCAAAGTGGATCCAAGACCTCAATGTCAGACCCAAAACTCTGAAACTACTGCAAGAGAGAATAGTAGAGGCAGAACTTATAGATACAGGTAGAAACTTCCTGAATAGAGCCCCAGGAGCACAACTAGAAAGGATACCATCTGACAAGTGGGACTATGTTACAGTTTCTGCACAGCTAAGAACATAGTTACTAAACTAGAAAGACAGCCAGCCAATTGGGAAAAAATCTTTTCCAGTAATACATCAGACAAAGACCTAATATCCAATATATACAAGGAGCTCAGGAAACTAACCCCCTCCCAAACTTAATATACCAGTTACTAAATGGGCAAGGGAGCTAAGAAGAGACTTCTCAGAAGAAGAGGTAAGAATGGCAAAGAAACATGTGAGGAAATGCTCATCATCCCTGGCCATAAAGGAAATGCAAATTAAAACAAACATGAGATACCATCTTCTGCTACTTAGATTGGCCAACATTTTGAATTCTGACAACAAATGCTGGTGGGGATGTGGGGAAAAGGAACTCTACTGCACTGCTGGTGGGAATGTAAACTACTATAACCACTCTTGGAAACAATCTGGAAGTTCCTCAAAAAACTAAGCATAAGGCTGGGTGCCGGTGGCTCATGCCAGCTATACCACTCCTGGGCATCTACCCTGAGCATCATGAACCAGGATATGATAAGTACATCTGTACATCCATGTCCATTGCTGCACTATTCACAATAGCCAAGATATAGGAACAGCCCAAATGCCCCACATTAGATTAGTGGATCCAAAAAATGTACCTGTGTACAATAGAATTTTACACAGCCATTAGAAAGAATAATGTCATTTGCAGGGAAATGGATGGAACTAGTACAAATTATGTTAAGTGAGGTAAGCCAAGATCAGAGAGAGAAATGGTGCATGTTCTCCCTGATATGCAGAAGTTAGATCTAAAATGCAATGGGATATGACAAATTACACAAAAATCTAGATAACAGTGAGATCAAAAGAGGTTAGTCTTAGGAGAAAATCACAAAGGTGTAATACCCAAGTGGCTCTTAACACGTATATAAAATAATACATACTGGCTGGGCGCCAGTGGCTCATGCCTGTAAATCCTAGCTCCTCAGGAGGCTGAGATCTGAGGATTGAGGTTCAAAGCCAGCCTGGGCAGGAAAGTCTGCGAGACACTTATCTCCAGTAAACCACCAGAAAACTGGAAGTGTTGCAGTGGCTCAAGTGGTAGAGCAATTGCTTTGAGCTGAAGAGTTTAGGGACAGCACCCAGGCCCAGAGTTCAAGCCCCATGACCAACCAAAAAAATAATAATAATACATACTGAAGTGAACTCCAAAAATACGGAGATTTTGTTTTTTTTGGTAGATCGTGAGGCTTGAACTCTGGGCTTGGGCACTGTCCCTGAGCTCTTCAGCTGAAGGCAAGCACTCTACCACTTGAGCCACAGCGCCCTTCTGGTTTTCTTGTGGTTAGTTAAAGAGTCTCACAGAATTCCTACCAGGGCTGGCTTTGAACCGCTATCCTCAAATCTCAGCCTCCTGAGTAGCTAGGGTTATAGGCGTGAGCCACTGCTGCCAGCTGGAGTTATATTTCTTAAATTGTTTTTTTTTTCTTACGACTGTATTCTTTGCCTTATATATGGTGTGTTCATGCGCACATCTGTGGGAAGGTTGGGGGGGGGAGGCACAAAACCAGGAAAAAGGATGAAAAAGTGCAGCAGTGGAGCGCGCTGGACATTGATGAAAGTGAACTATGCAATTCGGGTTGGAGATGGGAGGGAGGGGGTGGGAAAGAATGAGGGAACAAGTGATCTTATGCAAAAGGAAATGTGCTTCTTCCCTGCTGTATGTAAAGGTAACCCATTGTCCATAAAACAACAATAAAGTAAATTAGAAACAAGTATTTCATCTGTTCACATTTTTCGCCGAGGTTGCTCTACGTTAATTCCCTTTGCTAAAGTGGTGGCATCTGTTTGGTTTGTCCCAAGGTCCTAGCATAGGCTGTTTCTCATCACAGAATCACACACCTGTGTTTATATTGCCTTGGGAGTGGCATTGTTCTCAACCGGGACACACTCAAAGTGCAATTACCGTTGATTGATTCCTGTGGCTCTGTTATCCTCTAGTGTGTTACCTGCTTTAAAATTTTAGTTTGTCGGGCTCAGTGGTAGAGTGCTTACCTTGCATGCAAGGGGCCCTGGGTTCGATTCCTCAGCACCACATCAGCAGAAAAAAGCTGGAAGTGGCGCTGTGGCTCAGGTGGTAGAGCGCTAGCCTTGAGCTGAAGAGCTGAGGGACAGCGCCCAGGCCCAGAGTTCAGGCCCCACGACCAAAAAAAAAGATTTTAGTTTGTCAACTTGAGAAAGAGAATACAATTTACAACCTGTGGAAATTTTAACACAATATCTGAAATATGCTAATTGGTGAATGGATCCTTCATTAAACTATTTTGAGGAACAAGTAAGCTTATACAAGTAATAATTTGTGAGTAATAAAGTGGCATGTAAAACTAATTACTAAATGTGTAGGTGATTGAAATATTTAACTAGTCATCAAAGATAAAAGTTATGATTATTTCTAGTTGGTTGATCATTTGATACTGTAGAGGTGAGACAGAACCTTTACAATTTCAACCTATAAACCTTTAAGAAAGGAGAAATCGTTTCTTCTCCCAGCCCCTTTCTTTTCATTCTTAAAGGACTTCTTGCCCTACTTGTAATTTCTTGACAACTGTTTTATAAGCAAGATCAGGGTATCAAAATAACTAAAAGCATGTATTTTGTTCTCATTAATGACACTCAGATTTTAGTATCAACATATATTGAAAACAAGTTTTTCAAAGAACTGTGTTTCTCAAACAATACTATTATACAAAATTTAAAAAGCCAGAATCACAAGTTTGAAAAAAAATATATCTTTGCCAGATGTTTTTTTGACATCATGGTACTTGGAAACTCGATCCATGTTTTGAGTTGTAAGCAGGAATGGACTCTGGAATACTGAAATAGGAAATCATATTGCAAGGGCATTGGCTTAGACACAACCAGTACCCATGGTCGCACCCCTCCCCCTCCCATCAAGAATGCTGCCAATTCAGAATTGCTGTCTATTTAGTGCCAACAATGTTGACCTGGGAGGATTCTTAACAGTCTTTATGTATATCACTCATGGGAGTGAGTCTAGGTCATTAGTGGAGAATGGAATTTTTTTTTCTAGTTCTGGGACTTGAAATCAGGGCCTGGACTCTGTCCCTGAGCCTCTCAGTGCTCAAAGCTTGCGTTCAACCTCTTGATCCACAGCGCCACTTCTGGCTTTTTCTGAGTTTATTGGAGATAAGAGTTTCAACAGACTTCTGCCCAAGCTGGTTTTCATGTGATCCTCAGATCTCAGCCTCCTGAGTAGTTAGGATTACAGACGTAAGTCACTGGTGCCTGGCTCTACTTCAGTTTTTAAATGACAGGAAAGACCCACTAATATAACACCCCAAAAAGGTGTTCTTTAAAATAGGAAAGGAGGTTTAGATGCTCAACACTCGCAAAACTGCCCCACAAGTGAATGAGTCAGATTCCAAAATCCATTTGTGGACTAAATTTGTGTGTTTGGGTGGTGGTGGGGGGGTTGTTCTCGTAAGGTCCTGGACCCTTCCCTGGGATCATAGACCTGTTTGGAGTTGGAGGAGGCCTTCTGGAGTATCGAGCAAGTCTGCTGGCTGGGAAGGGTTTTGCTGTGATGGCGCTGGCTTATTACAACTATGACGACCTCCCCAAGGACATGACGATTCTCCACCTGGAGTACTTTGAAGAAGCTGTGAGCTACCTGCTCAGGCACCCTCAGGTAGCTGCTCTTTTAGTCTTTGGATTAGAAAGCACGGTTCTAAACTTGCTTTAGATCCTGGGGTTTTGCACACAGATGGGAAGTTTCTCAGATTCACCTTCCTTTTCACAGATAATTATGACCTTTTGTGAGTGCTGGGTTCCTGAGGGAGCAGGTACCAGAGATTAAAGAGCAAAATACTTTTGACTTGTCTGAGTGTACCTTTTTGACATCTCCATGTGCAGCGCCTTCCCTGGGGCTCCTCACTGTGCTTCACAGGGTCTCTGTAGCCCAGAGGTTAGCCTTAGCTTATAACTGGGGACAGTGAGCTTTAGATGGGCTTAACAAGATTTCTAAAGCAGAGATAATCATAGAGTCAGATTCAGGCTCAGATCTACGTGAGGTCCCTTCCATGTGAACTCATTTCCCTTCTTTTCTCTCAGGTAAAGGGCTCAGGAGTTGGAGTGCTTGGAATTTCCAAAGGGGGAGAACTTGGTATTGCCATGGCCTCTTTCCTGAAAGGCATCACCGCTGCTGTTATAATCAATGGCTCTCTATCCAGTGTTGGGGGAACCATATGCTACAAGGATGAGACTGTGCCCCCAGTGGGCATGGACCACAGTCGAGTCACAACAACCAAAGATGGCATCATGGATATTGTGGATGGCATAAACAACCCTTTGGAAGGACCTGATCAGAAGAGCATCTTTCCTGTGGAAAGGTCTGACACTGCCTTCCTGTTCCTTGTAGGTCAGGATGACCACAACTGGAAGAGCGAGTTTTATGCTAATATGACCTCTCAGCGCCTAGAGGCCCATGGGAAAAAAAAGCCTCAGATCATTCTTTACCCCGAGGCAGGGCACTATATTGAGCCCCCTTACTTCCCCTTGTGCAGGGCTGGCATGCACTTCTTGGTTAGGGCTAATATCTTGTTTGGAGGAGAACCCCGGCCTCATGCCATGGCCCAGCTGGATGCGTGGAAGCAACTCCAGACTTTCTTCCACAAACACTTGGGTGGCACAGAGGGCACAATCCCAGCAAAACTGTAATTTCTATTTGAGTAACATCTGATGCTGGTCTGCCCTAGGAATCACCACCACTTTTAACATACTTTTCTTTGTAATAAATGCTTAGTTTCTTTCCCAAAAGGTTTTTTGTTTTTTGTCAGTGGTGGGCTTGAACTCTGGGCCTGGGCGCTGTCTGGCAGCTCTTCAGCTCAAGGTGAGTGCTCTACCATTTGAGCCACAGTGCCATTTCCGTTTTTCTGGTGGTCAATTGGAGATGAGAGTCTGTCTCACGGACTTTCCTGACTGGACTGCTTGGGCTGGCTTTGAACCATGATCCTCAGATCTCAGCCTCCTGAATAGCTAGAATTATAGGTGTGAGTTACTGGCACCTGGCTTCCCAAAAGTTTTTAACATAAACTTCAGACTTTCTCAGTTTGGGAGCTGGGGGATTCTGTAGAAAACTTAAGAGGTGGGTAAAGTCTGCCCCTTACTGTGGCACAACATGAAACTGGCAAGGGTTTAGCTCTGAAAAGCAACGTGAGTAACACGGATTAGGAGGGCCAGCTTTAGAATTAAAGTGCAATGATTATTTACTGAATGCCTTATGACTAGTTACTGTGCTTTTCTTATTATTGTAAGAGAAGTATACACAATACATTTATGTCTGTCAGTTCTATATTGCAGATCCAAGTAACTGCAGATTAAACTTTATATATACATATATATGGGTATATATATGTATATATATGTATATATATATATACATATGTATATTTTATACTGGCCAGGCACTGGTGGCTTAGGCCTATACTCCTAGCTACTTAGGAGACTGACATGTGAGAACTGAAGTTTGAAGCTAATCACTCTATGAGCTGTAAGAGTACTAACTTTGAGCAAAAAAAGACAAGCAAGAGTAGGAGGCCAGAGTTCAAGTCCCACTATCAGCACGCAAACAAAAAATACAGCATCTGTACTAACCTTATGCAGACTCATTTGATATCACCATTTCCTAAATAATACAATATAACAACTAGTTGTACAGTAATTACACTGTTCTAGATATTCTAAATAATGCAGAGGTGATTTTAAAGGATACAGGAAGTTATATGGAAATTAAGTGTCATTGAACCTCTACAGATTTTAATATCCAAGGGGTCTGAATAATCCCTTATGAATACTGTGTGACAACTGTAAGATCAAAAATGTCATAATATCAGATTTGAGTTTTTTTCTATTACTATAGAAGTAACATCTTACTGCAAACTGATCATTAGATATAAAAATAAGGAAGAATTCAAAAGAAATTTTTTTGTAGTTCTTTATTATCTTTTCCTTGGATGAAAAAGGATTTTTCTAGCAAATAAAATATTTAAGTTCCTGTTTATACATATAGACTCTTATGGTTTTGTTTTGTTTTTCTTGATCAATTGTGGGGCTTGAACTCAGTGTCTGGGTGCTGTCCCTGAGCTCTTTTGCTCAAGGTTAGCACTTTACCACTTTGAGCCGCAGTTTAACTTCTGGTTTTGAGTGGTTAATTGGAGATAAGAGTCTCACTGTTCTCTGAAGCTAAAGACCTTTTTATTTTATTGGTACCATTCCTGGGGCTTCAACTCAGGGTTTAGGCATGTCCCTGAGCTTTTTTGCTCAAGGTATGAGCAAAAATGTTCGTACCTGGTGAAAACTTCATTTTCTCAGTGAGGAATCCCAGTCTTAAAGAAGTTCAGCTAGGTGCTGGTGGCCCATGCCTATAACCCTAGCTACTCAGAAGGCTGAGATCTGAGGATCACGGTTCAAGGCCAGCTCAGGTTTTGAGACTCTTATCTCCAATTAACCACCAGAAAACCTGGCGCTGTGACTCCAATGGTAGAGTGCTCATTTTGAGCTGAAGCGCTGAGGGACAGCGCCCAGGCCCAGAGTTCTAGCTTCATGACCAACAACAACAAAAAAAAGTTCATAGCAAGTTAGGCATCAGTTGTTCAGTCCGTAATCTTAGCTGCTCAGAAAGCCAAGATCTGAGGAAAGTGTTTAAAGCCAGCCTGGGTAGCAAAGACCATAAGACTCTTACCTCGTCAATTAACTAGCAAAAAGCTAGATGTGACTCAAGTGGTAAAGCACTAGCTCTAAGCAAAAAAGTTCAGGGACAGTGCCGAAGCCCTGAGTTCAAGCCCCACTACAGGCACGTATACACATACATGCTTATAGCCTAGTCAGGGTTCTAGTGTAAAGCCGAATTTGGAAATCCTTACCCAAAAGACCACCAGAGACCATCACCAATGTAAAAGCAAAGGAGTCTTTATTGCAAGCTCGAGCTTGGTCTCCCCCGCCCCCAGCCCCCGCTGTGTACAATGCAGCAGCCCATGATGCTGAGAGGCCCCGAGCCCAGGGTTACAGCACTTTTTATACATTTTTTAGGGAAGGCAGGGGCTTTGCATACATCATAACTTCTTGTAACAAATGACTACAAACCGCGGGAAAATCATAAAACAACTCTATAGTATGATTGGCGCACTACAAAGCAGGAAAGGACCAGAAACAAGTTGTGGGTTAGATCAAGGGGGCTGATGTACTTTAAACTGGTTGGCTTGCACCACAGGGGAGTCTCAAGAGGACAGGTGCTAAACTGCAGGGTGTCTGCTTTAGATAATGGTCACCAGACCCTAGGAGGGGCTGTTCTGGAATTTCAGCTATTGTAATTCCAGGCATTGGGGCTGAAGTGGGTCAAGGGTTAAGTTGCAGGACTGAGATGGGAGTCTTAAGTGAAATGGAGTTGCTTAAGTTTCTCATTCCCTCCTCTTCTAAAGCCTCAGGGGCCAATCATGGTCCCCTTGTTAGCACAATCTTTTATATTTACAGTTTGGTATTGGGATCTCAGAACTAATAGATGGGCTGCGCTGATCTTTTTCTTTTACAAAGGACACCAGTCTGTTGAGTATACAAGGTCCAATTGTGAGTAACAAAATTAACAGTACCAAAGGCCCTTACATTTTTCCACCAGGCCTGACTCTGTATATCACAACTAACTTAATTTTATATCAGCTGTACTCGTAAACTCCAATGTTAAGACATACTCATACCGGGCTGGGAAGGTGGCTCAGTGGTAGAGTGCTTGCCTTGTATGCTCGAGGCCCTGGATTCGATTCCTCAGCACCACATAAGCAAAAAGAAAAAAAAACAGAAGTGGCTGAAAAAAACAGAAGTGGCCGTGTGGCTCAAGTGGTAGAGTGCTAGCCTTGAGCTGAAGAGCCGAGGGACAGCACCCAGGCCCAGAGTTCAGGCCCCACGACTGGACCCCCCCCCCCCCAAAAAAAAAGACATACTCAATGTAAGGTCCGCTCCTGGATGGCTAGCAGACTCCACCCTCCTCGCAGCAAAGTCTCCACCCAGTACCTGCGTTACCTAGGCAACTGGGACACCTGGAAGAGGTCACATCTGCATCCGCTGAGGTCACATCTGAATTTGATGTGGCCACACCTTTCTCCGCCCATACCCTACATAAGGCCTAGCCCAGGCCCAGACGCTCTCTTGCTCTTGCTCTTCTAGCTTTCTTGCTTTTTCTCTCTGTTCGTTTCTAGCTCTTGCTCTTCTAGCTCTCTTGCTCTTGCTCTTCTTTTCTAGCTCTCTCTGCTCTCTCTCTGCTCTAGCTCTTTCCTCTCTCTTTCCTAGCCACGTGGAGTGCCAACCTTGCCTGGTCCCAGCAGGTCTACTGAATAAACCTACCCCTTACCTGAATACCACGTGCGTGCTGGTGCTGTTCTTACTCGGTTACCTCTTTTTAAAAACCTAACACTCATACCATTTGCTACATACTTAAACTTTCTGAGGTTTGTCTCCTTTACAAACATTTTAAGACAATCCTTTTTAAATCCTTTTTTATTCAGAGGATACCAATTTTTTCCCCCAATTCCTTTCCCAAGGCTTTCTTTACTACCCTCTTCTTTACAATTCCTTGAGCTTCTTTGTGGCTAGAGTTCAAAACTGCTCAATTTCCCTTTGTCTTGTGGAACCAAGTTATCTCAGAACAGCCTTAAGGCACCACGGATGCATAAGCTTGCTAGACTTTAAGGCTAAGAGTAGGGCTGGGTCTCATTTACCACCTCCATTAATTAAAAAAAAAAATCTCTTCTTTATCTTTAACCCTCACCGGGGAGGAAGCAGATTATTACCATACCATACCAGAGCCAAACTAGGCTGTGACCCTGAAGTGCCTAAGGCAGGCCAGTGATATCCTTGCCCCCAATACCTACTGTGGGAGCAGAGAGGGTTTCTGGATATCACCAAAAGAATGTCCCACAAGATCTTAATTTTAGCAGCTTTCAACAGGGAAGCAGTCTCAGGTGATGGAATCAGGCAGGAGTTCAGTCTACTTTTACCATGGTGAAGGTGGTCTTGGTGATGATGTAGATTTCCTCCAGGTGACTGTTGGGCTGTCATTGAGCTTTACCCTTTAGGGTGTGCAGCAGCAGCAGCAGCAGCAGCAGCAGGGTCTCTCAGTGGCTCCAAGCGACTGTCACACCTCATGCTGGGCTGCAAATTCCTACACAGACTGGTTAAGGATACAAGTAATACATAGGCTTGGCAGGCTGTGACCCCACTAGTTTTTAAGACTATTTAAACAATAGCCCAGGACAATTTACCAAGATGACAACTTTTTAAACTAGATAGTTCTTTTAATAAGGCTAGGATTTTTCAGGCAGATATAGAGGGCTCAGGCCTGTACTAATATTTTCCATGCCTTTTCCTTCTGTCTATTTTGCCTTTTTTTTTTTTTTTAATTGACTCTGGTCCTTGTTCTTAAAAGGGGAAGATGGGCGATGATTCATCTTCTGAAAATTCTTCAAGCGGGATCAGGGGTGTTGATCCTACCTAGCCAGGAACCTATAACCCTAGCCTAATTTACAAAGAGAGGTTACCAGGGTTGAATGTCATTAAGAACAATATTTTAACTTTTGACAAATGCACAAACCTTTTCTCTAGCTACAGCAGTGTAGCTTGTTTAGCACTCTGGTTTGCAAAAACATCTTTCTGGATGGCTTAGGAATGTGATCTCTAATGATCCTAACAATGCCTAAGTTACCTATGTAGACCTTCAAGCAGATATCAGTAGAAAACACACACTCAGGTTTACAAAAACTTTTTTCCTGAGCAGATGAATTTCATGTAGCTGGTGTCAGCTCAAAAGTTACTGCCAATTAGAATTTTTGGCACATATAGAGGTTGGGATTTAAACTATCCCCCATATTTTATAACTTTAGCTTTTTTACTACTATCACAGAGGATGGCAAGTTCCTGTCCCTTACAAGGTAGATAGTCATGGACATTAGGCATGCTTATAAACTATCTTCCCATGACCTCCTGGCTCTAACCAATTCTTGAAGGGCCATGCACAAATGACTCTAGGATCTGACATTTCTGCCATCCAAGCAATGGCTTACTGCCTCTGGATCTCCTCTACTGCTCTTGTCCCAGGAGTGTCTTCTCTACACTGGGATAAATGCCTCATTGGCATTTCCCTTAGCTGGTCGCTGGACTTGAATTTGGGGCCTGAGCGCTGTCCCTCAGCTCAAGGCTAGTGTAAGGTCCGCTCCTGGATGGCTAGCAGACTTCACCCTCCTCTCCTGGATGGCTAGCAGACTCCACCCTCCTTGCAGCAAAGTCTCCACCCAGTACCTGTGTTACCTAGGCAACTGGGACACCTGGAAGAGGTCACATCTGCATCCCTGAGGTCACATCTGAATTTGATGTGGTCACACCTTTCCCCGCCCATACCCTAGATGAGGGCTAGCGCAGGCCCAGGCGCTCTCTGTTCGTTTCTAGCTCTCTGCTCTTTCTGTTCTATTCTAGCTCTTTCTCTGTTCTTTTCTGCTCTCTCTCTCTCCTCTCTTCCCCTCTCTCGCTGCTCTTTTCTAGCTCTCTCTGCTCTCTGCTCTTTTCTAGCTCTCTGTTCTCTCTCTTTCCTCTCTTTCTTCTTTCTTTTGCCAGCCACGTGGAGTGCCAACCTTGCCTGGTCCTAGCAGGTCTACTGAATAAACCTACCCCTTACCTGAATACCAGGTGCATGGTGCAGTTCTTACTCCGCTACCTCTTTTTAAAAACCTAACAGCTAGCACTCTGCCACTTTGAGTCCCAAAGCAACTCTGCTTGCTCTTTCAGCACTCTGCTGGCTGAGTAGAGGTGACAGTTTCACAGGGACCTTTTTCTGCCCGGGGTGGCTTTGAACCAGTTTGAAGATCAATGAGTCTTATAAAAGACCACTTTACTCCAATTAAAAGCAACAAAGTGGTCAACATAGAAGTAGCTTTTAAGCTTGCTCTTACCTGAAACTTATTTGTGTTTTTTTTTTTTTTGGTCTGGTTGTGGGGCCTGAACTCTGGGCCTGGGCGCTGTCCCTCAGCTCTTCAGCTCAAGGCTAGCACTCTACCACCTGAGCCACAGCGCCACTTCCAGCTTTTTTCTTTTTGCTTATGTGGTGCTGAGGACTCGAACCCAGGGCCTCATGCATGCAAGGCAAGCACTCTACCACTAAGCCACCTTCCCAGCCCACTTACCTGAAACTTATTAAGAGCCAAAGTTACATCTGACAAACTTGTAAGAATCCTTTGTGCTTTGTTCTGGGCTTGCTGAAAACTTAAAAAACCTATAAGAGCAAACTGGAATAGCAATTATTTTGGTAATCCTAATTTTTTCTTTGTGCACTTTGAGGCAAATGTTAAGAACAATTTTACTTTTCAACTTTATATCCAAAAATCCATTTCTAATTTTTTAATCTCCTTTAATACTTTATACTTTAGTTTTAATTTGTGTTTTGAAAAGATCCCTTGAAATCTTGAGGCCAAATATCACTCATTGTCTCTTGGCTGCTTGTTTTAAAACAGATACACATTAAAACTTTTAAACTCAAATGACAATTTTTCCTTAATGCAAGAATTACAATCACCATCACTGTACGAAGACTTAACACCTTTATGACTTTTAAAAATATATCCTACTTGTAGAACATCATTGAAAGCAAGTCACATTATACAAATAAGCTTTTTAACCCTCTTTTTAAGGCCTATTTAATTTTAACACATCCAAGGGGCAGTTTTAGCAATACTACTCAGATCATCACATCACTAATTTTAACCATCATGTTTCCAGTGTCTATCTGCAGGGAAAAGGGACAGAACAATGATGGGCCACTCAGCCCCTCCTATGGAATGGGCACGCACCCAATCCGACTCTTTAGGGTTAGATAAACTGCGTTTGTGCCAGCTTGCCCTCTTTCACCATGCGTGGACTCCTCCCAGGGCCTGTCTCACCATCTGTGAACCTCCCTCCCCAGGGCCTGTCCCACCATCTGTGAACCGCCCCCCCAGGGCCTGTCCCACCATGCATGACCACCTGAACTGCCTGCTCACCCCTCACCCCTAAAGATAGGTCTTCTGTTGGCTTCTAAGTTTTTTTTTTCCTTTCTTTTCTCTTGGTTCTTGAATGAAATACACTTTTAGACAGACAGAACAAGTAACATCTTTGACAGTGTTAAACTAACCTTTACACTTAAATTTCTAGTATTTATCCCCAAATTTTAATCCAGGGAACTAAATCCCAAACAGCCAATGCATTTTTGTTAAGCCAGATAACCTTATTACAGTATTAACAGCCTTATGCATTTAAAAATATTAGATTTTAAAATACCAGATTTTCTAATTTTTAAGTTAAAGAATCCTTAAAATGCCTTTTAAAATAATGTGAAAGTTCTTTAAAAATTTTTTGGTAATGTCCAAACTCAGAACCTTTTAAATTTGACACTTAAACTCACCCCATTGTTACAGCATGCTAACAATTCTTATCTCAAACATGTTCACAAACATACAAAACACTCATACAGATCTTAAAGCACGCAAAAAGCAAAATCAGTTGTACATACATTTTTCTAAAGTTTTTAAACAAAAATTTAAGATAGTATTTCTTTTAAACTAAGTACCTTTGTTGAGCTTCATTTTCCCAGAGCTTGCTTATTTAGCCAGGCAATTCACCAATGGGTCTTTTGAATCCCTTCTGTTGGAGGAGGGCTGGGGAGGGGATCACCTGAAACTAAACTGGCCTGATTTTTTTTTTAATCCAATTTTTAAACAAGAGCACTTTTCAAATTGTTACATTGTCAGGACTAGCTGAAGAGTCCAAACCAGGCACACAGCCTTCTACACCCTCACCGATGGCAGCCTCCACTAGGAGAAAATGCAGCCTGAGGCGTGAAGGGAACCAAACTAGCCCAGCAACCTTCCACGCCTCACAGGGAGGGGGGCATAGCAGGTCTGTGACTGAGCCCAGCCGGAGGCTGGAACTTTTATTCCCACAGAGATGTTCAAATAAATAACAAAAACACAAATAAAAAAACCAAGGATCCACATTTAAAACTGGTACCAATTCTAAAACAGAACTAGACAAGACAACCAAAGGCTGAGTTGGGGACTAATGGGCCCCCAGTTTATCTCTACCAGAACTCTGCTGTTTTCATTCAGCAAGCTGAATCTAGAGTCTGCTGAGTGAGCCTGCCACTCTCACTCAGACCTTCCCTACCCCAGGAAACATAGAACAGAAAACACACCGAAGTAAACAAGACAGACAAGTGGCCACAAAGACAAAATCAGGTCTCAGTGAATGGGGCGACATCTCAAATCCACTTACCAGGCAACTCAAACCCCCTCTACTCATTCCAGAGGATTTTTCTTTTAGATTCCTGCAAATGTTGACCCAGGGGCCTTCCAAGGCGGAGGAGAATTCCCAGTCATCTTGGGTAAGAGAAAGAAGTCCCTAGTGGCCGTCCCCTCAGACTGACAGGTTCTCCCCCGTGCTCAGACCCCCTGAGCCAAGGAAGGCCTGAGGCTGAGATCTTGCTGGGGCCACTTGCAGTGGCCAGTGACAGTTTCATAATTGACAAAGAAGCAAGTACAAAATCAGAACCAGCAGGGTATTAGAAGAATTTCACCAAGTCTCTCCAGCCCTTTTTTACATGCACATGTAGTCAGGCCAACTAAAATGTCCAGCACTAATCTAGCAAACAAACAGGAATAAGCAATTTATAAAATCAAGGTTATGACACACAAAAAAACAGCAAATGCCGTGCATTATTAACCTGCAAGAGTCAGGGGAGGGAGAGGACAGGACGATGGAAATAAGCACAAATTTTCCGGGGGGGAGACTGGTCTGGTTAGTTTCCTGCGGAAAATCAAAAGTAAATATCATGAACAGTGGTCTCAGGGCAAGGAAGAAACATAATTTCGACAGATAATGACACGAAATGAAAGCGCTGTGCGGTGTGGAAAGTCAAGCAGGTGCCGGAGAAAATCTATCTCCAGCAGACAACAATCCACTCAGATGTGGCCACTCCGGTTCAGGTGTGGAAAGTCAAGCAGGTGCCAGAGAAAAATCTCCAGCAGATAACAATCCACTCAGATGAGGGAACGGGGACGTTTCCCACAGACCCGCGTCGGCAGCCTTACAGTGCATCCACCAAGATCCTTTGCCGACCAGACAGACACCTAGGTTTTCAGATTCAGACAGACAGAATGGCAATGCCTCAGACTTACCGGCCAGGTTTCTCACGACTCCTTGGTTAAGGTGTCTGGGTGGGCTTGGGGGGGATTCCTGGCCAACGCACCAAATGTAAAGCCGAATTCGGAAATCCTTAACCCAAAAGACCACCAGAGACCATCACCAATGTAAAAGCAAAGGGGTCTTTATTGCAAGCTTGAGCTTGATTCCCTCCCCCCCCCCCCCCCAAATGGCAGCAGCCCATGACGCTGAGAGGCCCCGAGCCCAGGGTTACAGCACTTTTTATACATTTTTTAGGGAAGGCAGGGGCTTTGCATACATCATAACTTCTTGTAACAAATGACTACAAACCGCGGGAAAATCATAAAACAACTCTATAGTATGATTGGCGCACTACAAAGCAGGAAAGGGCCAGAAACAAGTTGGTTAGATCAAGGGGGCTGATGTACTTTAAACTGGTTGGCTTGCACCACAGGGGAGTCTCAAGAGGATAGGTGCTAAACTGCAGGGTGTCTGCTTTAGATAATGCTCACCAGACCCTAGAAGGGGCTGTTCTGGAATTTCAGCTATTGTAATTCCAGGCATTGGGGCTGAAGTGGGTCAAGGGTTAAGTTGCAGAACTGAGTTGGGAGTCTTAAGTGAAATGGAGTTGCTTAGGTTCCTCACTAGCACTCTCCAATTGAGTTCCTTCTCCCTTCTTAAATCTGTGCTTATTTTATTAGGTCACAAAAACTTGTCCATCCATTTCTGCCCCTAGTCAACCAGCCTGGCTGGCGAATGCCTGTCCTCATTCAACAGTATGTGCTGTCAGTGCAGGAACTTGCCATTCTCAAAGCCTATCTAAGCTCTCCAAGGACAATAGTAGCCCCGGGACATGGGGGGAAGGAAGGATTACTTTTCATCCACACAAGTTTGTGGTTAAATTCCTGGATTTGGGTTGGACAACAGATATAATTCAAGACAGCATGAATTTGTAACATTTAAATGAGTTAAGAGCTGAAGCCAGTCACACACTTGCAATCTCAGCATTTGGGAGGCTAGAACAGGAAGATTGAAAAATTGAAGCTAGTCCAGGCTGCCTAGTGAGACCATATCTGAGGGGGGGGGAAGGAGGGAGAGAGAGAAAAAAAAGTCTGGAACCATAAGCGTTGACTTTGATTTAGTATTTTGGTTTTGGAGGAAGGATATGGGTAGCAGCTGAAAGTAGAGGGAGGGAGGGAGGGAGATCGCTTTCGCAATCATCACGTGCTCTCTGCGCTCCTTCAGCTCCGAATTAATCATTAGTCCGAGCAGATCACCTCTCCACCCTGCAATCCTCCACAGCGCGCCAGCGGCTCCCAGTAGAAGGGCAGAAGCAGAAGAGTCAGTGGTGACTGAATTCCCCTAATCAGATCCATCCAACCAGTATATTCTGATTTGGGACCCTGGTCTGCATGGCGGCGGCCACGGTGGTGGTGGAGCCCGCGGGCCGCGTGTGCTGGGACGAGCCGGTGCGCATCGCCGTGCACGGCCTGGCCCCCGAGCAGCCCGTGGCGCTGCGCGCGTCCCTGCGCGACGAGAAGGGCGCGCTCTTCCGGGCCCACGCGCGCTACCGCGCCGACGCCCGCGGCCAGCTGGACCTGCAGCGCGCGCCCGCGCTGGGCGGCAGCTTCGCGGGGCTCGAGCCCATGGGGCTCGTCTGGGCCCTGCAGCCCGACAGGCCCTTCTGGCGCTTGCTCAAGCGGGACGTGCAGACGCCCTTGCTGCTGGAGCTGGAGGTGCTGGACGGCCGCGAGCCCGCCGGGCCCGGCGAGCCCGAGGGCGGGCGCGTGCTGGCGCGGGCGGTGCACGAGCGGCACTTCATGGCGGCCGGGGTGCGGCGGGTGCCGGTGCGCGAGGGCCGGGTGCGGGCCACCCTCTTCCTGCCGCCAGGTGAGCCGCCGCTACCCAGAGCCTGACTTGCTCCCTAGGTCTGGTCTCGTCCCAGGTCTTTGATTTAGCCTGCTAACCACGTGATCATGGAACGTCTAAACTCCCCCTTCCACGCCCCCCGGGTCCCTCCACCCCTCCCCGTGGCTCGAACTTGAACTCCCTGGGAGTTCTCTCTGGTATGCGCGCTTCTGGCTGGCTCTCTACCATAGGCCAACTCCTCCAGCAGAGCGATAAAGTCTTCCGGACTTTCCTAGGTGGATTTGCTTGCATCCGCGGAGCCTCTGATCTCAGCCTTGCGAATAGCTAGAATCGCAGGTGTGAACCACCAGAGCCCCCCACGTCTGGCGTTCTTTCTTCCGTGTGTGTATTGGCACCAGGGCTTGAAGTTAGGGCCTCTCACGCTTGGCTTTTTTGGCTCGCTGGCATGGCCAAAAGTTTGGCAGATTTAGTGTGGGTGTTCTTTAAGAAAGGCAGACATTTGACAGTTGTCAGGTAGATACTGCTTTTTGAGAAAAATGAGAAAGAAAAGTTGGTGGGAATGTACATCTTATATGTTATTTCTATATATGTGCATTTATAGTATTGTTTATGCAAGTATATGACAAAAATCAGAAATTAAGCTCTTTTATTTATTGTCCTCTGTCTCTGTAGGTTTGTTTTTATTTTGTTGATCATGGGGCTTAAACTCAGGGCCTGGATGCTGTCCCTGAGCTCTTTCACTCAAAGTTCGCACTCTACCACCTTGATCCACAGCACCACTTCCTCTGTAGGTTATTAAAACCAAAAATTAAAATAGAATCCTTTTTCCCTATTTTCCCCCTGCTGACTGCCAAAATCTCAAACTCAGAACATCTCCCTTCCCTTTTCTTCCTTTCCCTTCCCTTCCCCTTTCTTTCTCTCTTTCCACAGTTAGTTGGCTCTGTTTCAGAATGATATTTGGGAGCCTAAAGCTTCCCATGATTTGTTTTCTGCAGGTGAGGGGTGTTTTGCAGGGATCATTGATCTGTTTGGAAGCAGCGGTGGTCTCTGTGAATACAGAGCCAGCCTCCTGGCGGGACATGGTTTTGCTGTGCTTGCCCTGGCTTATTTCAGATATGAAGACCTCCCTGAGTATTTGAGTGACGTGTGCCTGGAATACTTTGAAGAAGCTGTGGGTTTTATGCTGCAACATCCAAAGGTGAGTCCCAGTGTTTTCCTAAATGGAATAGTAGTGAACACAGGGCTGGACCCAAAAGCCTTACTAGGACATACAAGGAAACACAAAGGCTCTTTGTAAGGTTACTATTTATTATTACTAGTTAATAATTCTAGTTACTAGAACTGGAAAGTTGGCTCAGTGGTAGAGTGCTTGCCTCGCAGGCATGAGGCCCTGGATTCGATTCCTCAGCACCACATAAGCAGAAAAAATCCAGAAATGGCTCCATGGCTCAAGTGGTAGAGCGCTAGCCTTGAGCTGAAAAGCTGAGGGACAGCGCCCAGGCCCAGAGTTGAGCCCCCATGACCAACCAAAAAAAAAAATTCTAGTTACTAGTTATGATTTCATTTCCAACTGTCTCTAAAGACTTGAATATTTTAGTTCCCTTTGTGACTATTTGTTGTCATTCAAAGAGTACTGAACTAAGTCAGTACTAACCCAGCGTTCTGGTTCTATCTCTTACCATCCTGAATAAGGCAGGTGCCCTCTCGAAGATTTAATTTTTCTCATTTATAATGCTAATGTTAAAGTGTAGATGGAATAGTCTAAAAACACGTTTTTGAGGCAATTGGTGACATTTGAATAGGAGTAGTGTATTTGATGGTATTAAGGAATCATTATTCATGCTAAGTGTGATAAGTAGCGTTATGCTTTTGTAAAGAAAGTCTGAGAGGAAAGTCTGGGTGCTGTCCCTGAGCTCTTTTGCTCTACCACTTTGAGCCACAGCTCTGCTTCTGGTTTTTGAGTAGTGATAAGAGTCTCACAGCAACTTTCCTACCAGGCTGGCTTGTAACCGCAATCCTCAGATCTCAACCCTTGAGTAGGTAGGATTATAGGCATGAGCCACCAGTGCCCAGCCTGTGCCACATTTCAATACAGAACTCCAGTGAGTCCTAAGGTTTTAAATTGGAGCCAATCTTGTAAAATTTTATGGTATTATACTTATCAAGGTAAGGGGGGGACAAAGAATATATTTAACAGTTTTCATTTGGTTTAGGTATAAGGTCCTCCCTGTATATATATTAGGAGATGGCCTATATACTAGGAAATCAATAGAAGATACACTTGGACTTTGTATATTGTTGCCTAAAGAAGGGAAGCAAGGGGCTGGGAAGGTGGCTCAGTGGTAGAGTGCTTGCCTTGCATGCCTGAGGCCCTGGGTTCGATTCCTCAGCACCACATAAGCAAAAAGAAAAAAAGCCGGAAGTAGTGCTGTGGCTCAAGTGGTAGAGCGCTAGCCTTGAGCTGAAGAGCTGAGGGACAGCGCCCAGGCCCAGAGTTCAGGCCCCAGGGCCTGAGGCCCTGGGTTCGATTCCTCAGCACCACATAAGCAAAAAGAAAAAAAGCCGGAAGTGGTGCTGTGGCTCAAGTGGTAGAGCGCTAGCCTTGAGCTGAAGAGCTGAGGGACAGCGCCCAGGCCCAGAGTTCAGGCCCCACGACCGGACCCAAAAACAAACAGAAGGGAAGCAAGTTATATTTGAGAAAACTACTGAGAGAATGTAAAAATCACCATTTACCTATGGATTCTGGGCTTATTCTCCTCCCCCATTTCTCCTCAGGTGAAAGGCCCTAGCATTGGGCTTCTTGGCTTCTCCAAAGGAGGTGACCTGTGTCTTTCCATGGCTGCTTTCCTGAAGGACATCACAGCCACTGTACTTATCAATTCCTGTGTGGCCAACACTATAGTTCCTCTGCATTACAAGGATATGATCATTTCTGATCTTGGCACTGACTCCTTAAAACAAAAAACCACTGAGTCAGGCCTTTTGGATTTTGTAGATGTCTGGAATAATCCACTGGAGGAACCCAACCACGGAAGTCTCATTCCATTGGAAAAGGCCCAAGGGCCCTTTCTGTTTATTGTTGGTATGGATGATCATAACTGGAAGAGTGCATTCTATGCTCAAATAGCCTCTGAACGGTTACAAGCCCATGGAAAAGACAGACCCCAAATAATCTACTATCCAGAAACTGGTCATTGTATTGACCCACCTTATTTTCCTCCCTCCAGAGCCTCTGTGCATGCAGTGCTGGGTGAAGCAGTGTTCTATGGAGGAGAGCCAAAGGCTCACTCAAGGGCACAGGAAGATGCCTGGCTGAAGATTCAAACTTTTTTTCATAAACATCTCAATGGTAAAAAGTCTGTGAAGCATCCAGGTGCTGGTGGCTCACGCCTATAATCCTAGCCACTCCAGGAGTGAGATCTTCAAATCACAATTTGGACCCAGGCAGACAAATCCAAGAGAATCTTTAATAAACCAGAAAAAATCTGTAAGTAGAGGCATGGTTCAAGTGGTAGAGCACCAGCCATGAGTTAAAAAGCAAAGCAAGAGCAAGAGGTCCTGAGTTCAAGTCCCAAGATTGGTATACACACAAAAGATACCTTTATATGTGCATTCTTCATTGTGAAAAAGTGAAGTAATACAGATGAAAAAGCGTATTGGTTGGCATAGTAGCTCATGCCTATAATCCCAGCTACTTCACAAATAGAGATCAGGAGGATCTTGGTTGGAGGTCAGCCCAGGCAAAAAATTCACAAGATTCCCTACTCAATCAGTAAATGTTGGGTGTACGGACCTGTTACCCTAGCGGTGCAGGAAGCACTGACAGCATGGTCCGGACAAGCTCTCACATAAATGTGAGACCCTTTCCAAACAGAAAACAGAAAAAAGACATAAATGTGAATCATCATTTGAAAAATAACGAAAGCAAAAAGAGCTGTGGGTGTGGTTCACATGGAAGAGTGCCATGTGCCTGGCCCTACGTTCAAACTCCAGTACTGCCAAAAAAAAATTTTTTTTAAAGGACCTTTTTAATTCATTATCCAATTTCAGTCTCCTCTCAAAGGTAGTTACCATTACCAACTTGAAGTAGAACCATTTTTGGCATGAATGAATGGAAAAACATGGTTTTATTATCAAAGTTCAGTGCCTCTTCTAAACAAAAATAAATCCTTAAAGTTGTATTATGTAAGATTTTTTTTTTTTACAAACAAAATACACATTGTTCATACTTGTGTCAGGCTACAGGACAATAGAGGATTTTTTTTTTCCCTTCAGCTTTCTCAGTTAAAAAGCCAAATTTCTGGAAGTGGCGCTGTGGCTCAAGTGGTAGAGCACTTGCCTTGAGTGGAGAGCTGAGGGATAGCACCCAAGCCCAGAGTTCAAGCCCCATGATCCACAAAAAACAAAAAAATAAAAAAGCCAAATTTCTAGACCCCCATCCCAACTGGGCTTTATAGCATTCAAGTCAAGGAACTTTCTCTGCTCTAGTTTTTTTTTTGTCACATCTGCCATTTTAATACAGCTCAACTCAGTCATCTGAAACATTTAAATGTTAACCTCATCAGTCTTTCTTACAATGAAACAATTATTTCAAGGAAGGACATGAATTTGCCTGGCACAAGTGGCTTCCTTCAAGCCAGCTTAAGGGAATAGTGCCCTGTGGTGGCCAGGGAGGGTTTTAGTGAAGACAACTGGCACTTGTGTTTTGTTAGAAATCATGACTTCTCTTTCTTGATTATGACATCCTGACTCTTTGCGGTGGTTCCACCGTGGCTCCTCAGTGACATCATCTTGAAGTACTTTGTTGGGTGCTCCTCAGGCTCCTACGTTGTGACTATGTGGTGTTGTTTCCAGGCCTGGAATACCAGGCCCACATCAAAGCCACTACAGCCACAGCACTAGTAGTTTTAATTAAATTAGAAAGCTCCTGGGAGGAGCATAGGCCCTGGAGGACAGTTGCCTGGTGATGCACTGCCCCACCACAAGATGGCTATAGCCTCCATCTGGTCAGAGGCCTGGCTCTGGGAGACAACTTCACATGCATGGAACGCATGTGGCTCTGAACCCAGCATTTGCCAGATGCTAAATGACATGATTGCAAACAAAACAACCCAACTTCAAAGTGGAGGTAATAGTAATAGCACAACACTGCTGGCCTCTCACTATGGGCAGTACTGAGTTTTGATACTTGGCTACAAACAGGCTGGCTACAAGCGTGCTGCCCGCCCAGTGTCTTCCTGTGGCCCCAGGTACTAGAGGCCTTTTCTGGAGAGTATCTGGCCTCCTTATGGATGGTTTGCTTTGGTAGTTAATAGGTCATCTGAAAACAAAGTAAGCGCCTTAATTGTTTAATTTTTTCCTCCCACATATTGTGGTGGAACATTCATTCTCCCTGGATGGTGGCTAGGATTTGACATTTTATCTGCTTGAACACCTCTCTTCTGCCAGCTGTCCACACTCCAAACCCCTACTGTGGCTTGGCAGTATATACCTTTCTTCTGTTATATACTAACCACAAAACTGCAGCAAAAGTTCCTAGCATTGAATGTCTTCCTATCTCTACTAAATGGAACTTTAATGTTCATTTCATTTTTCCTGTTACTATTTCTTGTTAAAAATGATTGGTAGTAGGGCTGGGAAGGTGGCTCAGTGGTAGAGTGCTTGCCTTGCATGCATGAGGTCCTTGGTTCAATTCCTCAGCACTATGTAAGCAGAAAAAGCTGGAAGTGGCACTGTGGCCCGAGTGGTAGGAAACTAGCCTTGAGCTGAAGAGCTGAGGGACAGTGCCCAGGCCCAGACTTCGGGCCCCACGACCAAAAAAAAAAAAAAAAAAAAGATAGGTAGTAGCCTGGTGCTGGTGGCTCACACCTGTAATCATGCTGAGATCTGAGGATTGTAGTTTGAAGCCAGGCAGGAAAGTCCATGAGACTTAACAGATGAGCTACCAAAAGTGGGAAAAGCTACCAAGCCCAAAGGTAGAGCTGTGGTTCAAGTGGTAGGGCACCAGCCTTGGGTAAAAAGCTTAAGGACAATATCTAGGCCCTGGGTTTAAGCCCCAGAACCAGAACAAAAAAATAAGATATCTCTTTAAGTCCCTGAGGCTCAACAATACTGATATAGATAGATAGGTGGGTAGATAGGTGGACAGACACAGACAGAGACAGACAGATAGATAGATAGATAGATAGATAGATAGATAGATAGATAGATAGATAGATAGATAGATACTGGTTTTTTATACTGGTTTAGTTACAGGCCAGTTAGTCGTGATCATTTTACTTTACTCAGAAATTGTAAATTGGCGAGGAGAGCTCCTCCAGTGGTAACAATCTTAGGTCACTGAGTGCCAAGAAATGGGGAGTCTTTTTTTTCTACCATTTGGAATTTTCTAGCATCACTCATGAGCCATGCAAAATTACCGAGACATGCAGCTGGCCACAGACAGCGCAGTGGAAGCATACATGTCTGTCCCGTTATGTACCAATTAATTCAGAAGATCTGCTAGGCCTTGGGCCAGGCGCATCCCCACAGCTGAGAGTGTCATACCCAGAGGCTTACTGCTGCAAACCCTGAGCTGATTTCTCTATGTGTTCATGTTGAAGGCTTATTGCTCTGGACTTTTACCACAGGGCCTTAGCACTTGACAGCTATTGTAATCTTGCTTCCAGCATCAGTGAGTAACAGACAGCAGTAAGTAGCAGGCAGTGCCAGCTAGTCCTACAGTTTCCTGAATGGGCCTTGGGTCCTGGTTGCTAGATCCACAGCAGCTACTGTCACATACAGCTCTTGGGGCTACAGTGCTGCAGCCCTCTGCCCTTGGCAGCTCACAGTGATATAGCTCTCAGGCATAGGGTCTGACACCCTTAGTCCATTAAAGAGTGCAGTTCTCTGGAATTTCAGCAAACAGGGGCCTGCTTCTTTACCTGGCTCTTCACAGACTCCTTCCATCAGCCTTGGCTTCCCACCCACTCTCACCTCTATTCCCATTGGCCTTCCTTACCCCTGCTGCCTCTGCTCCCCATCGTTTCTGCCCTTCATCCACTCTCTGGAACTCTTCAGCAACTCTGGGCCAGTGGCTACTGCCACTTCTGCCTCTAGCGCTGCTACTGAAGCGCTGCTACTGCTACTGACCCTGCCACCTCTTCCTTCCATTACTAGTTCATGAAAAAGATCAAAAGTAGGCCAGGTCATCTGAGAGAGCTTTTCTTTGGGCCTAATGTTGTAGCATCCAGGCAGCACAAAAGTGGTTTTTGAAAAACAATTCACTTTTCATGTTTTTTTTTTGGGGGGGGCAGGGGGGAGTCCTGGGCTTGAACTCAGGGCTTGAGCACTGTCCCTGAGATTCTTTTTCTCAAGGCTAGTACTCTAAACACTTGCACCACAGTGCCACTTTGGTTTTTTTTCTAAGCAGTTTTATTGGCATTAAGAGTCTTTCGGACTTTCCTCCTGAGGCTGGCCTCAAACCTTAATCCTCATATCTCAGCTTCCAGAGTAGCTAGGATTATAGGCAGGCCACCAGTGCCCAGGCCCACTTGTTATCTTTTTTTTTTTTTTTGGTCGGTTGTAGGGCTTGAACTCTGGACCTGAGCGCTGTCCCTCAGCTCTTCAGCTCAAGGCTAGAGCCCTACCACTTGAGCTACAGGGCCACTTCTGTTCAAGGCTAGCACTCTACCACTTAAGCCAGAGAGCCATTTCCGGTTTTCTGGTGGTTTATTGGAGATAAGAGTCTCACAGACTTTCTTGCCTGGGCTGGCTTTGAACCACGATCCTCAGATCTCAGCTTCCTGGGTAGCTAGGATTACAGGCGTGAGCCACTTGTGCCTGGCTGCTTTTTTTTTTTTTTTGTCAGTCATGGGTCCTGAACTCTGGGCCTGGGCACTGTCCCTCAGCTCTTCAAGCGCAAGGCTAGTGCTCTACCACTTGAGCCACAGCGCCACTTCCGGCTTTTTCTGCTTATGTGGTGCTGAGGAATTGAACCCAGGGCCTCATGCATGCAAGACAAGCATTCTACCACTGAGCTACCTTCCAGCTCCTGATTATTTTATTTGATGTGGTTCAATTACCGGTCTTCAAAATGAAATTTCTTATGTCAAAAATTAAGGTGGAGGGGCTGGGAAGGTGGCTCAGTGGTAGAGCGCTTGCCTTGCATGCATGAGGCCCTGGGTTCGATTCCTCAGCACCACATAAAAAAAAAGAAAGAAGACGGAAGTGGCGCTGTGGCTCAAGTGGTAGAGCGCTAGCCTTGAGCTGAAGAGCTGAGTGACAGCGTCCAGGCCCAGAGTTCAGGCCCCATGACCGGACCCCCCCAAAAAAAATTAAGGTGGAAATGGGCATGGGATCCCTTTCACCAAAACTGCACCCAAAGCTCCCACCTTTCCCAAAGCCAAACCAAAGACAAAGCATTGAAGGCCAAGAAGCATCCACAGACATAAAAAGAAGCTGCACATGTCACTCACCTTCTTGCAGCCCAAGATGTTGCAGCCCAAATATGCTCAGAAGAGCATCCGCTGGAGAAAACAAGCTTGACCACAGTGCCGCTTACCAGTTCCCTCATCCCTGAGTCAGCCATGAAGAAGGCAGAAGATAACACAGCGTCCATTGTGGATGTCAAGGGCAACAAGCAACAGATCAACCAGGCTGTGAAGACACTCTGTGACATTGATGTGGCCGAGTTCAATCCCCTAATCAAACCTGCTAGACACAAGAAGGCATCTGATCTGCTGGCTCCTGACCATGACCATTTGTATGTTGTCTACAAAATTGGCTAATTCAGCTGGGTGTCGGTGGCTCACGCCTATAATCCTAATTTCTCAGGAGGCTGAGATCTGAGGATCACAGTTCAAAGCCAGTCTAAGCAGGAAACTCCACCAGACTCTTGTCTCCAATAAACCACCAGAAAACCGGAAGTGGCACTGTGGCTCAAGTGGTAGAGTGCTCTCCTTTAGCTGAAGAGCTCAGGGATAGTGCCCAAGCCGAGTTCATTGCCCGCAACTGACAAAAAAATAAAAATAAATCTGCATTACGGGACAATCAGAAAATAGACCAGCAAGAAGGTTGTGCTAGTCAGCTTAGGGTGCTACTAACACTGAATGACTTTAATACAAAATTAATTTTCTCTCAGCTGTGAGATGCTGGAAGGCCAGGATCAAGGTGCTGATAGGGTTACTCTTTTTTTTTTTGGTTGGTTGTGGGTCTT